TGAATCGTAACCACGATGGGTGGCTAAATCAAAAGCAACAGATAATCCCTGCTGGCCAGCTAAGTGAAAAAGGAAAAACAAAACAAAACAAAACCAACAAACGACAAAAAACAACAGAGAGAGAGATTCAGAAGTGTTGAACAGATTTGCATTAGTAAAATGTATTATTTTACATCATCCAGTCATCCAGGCTTGGACAACAAACCAATTTGTGATGTTAAACGCTGTTCCCTCCCCAGACTTATCCAAGGTCTTCTATTCTTAAACTTTAAATGAAAAAGCTTTTAATTGAGAAAAAAATATCATAGTTCTAGTTCAACCACACAATCAGCTTACCATGCTTAACAAATTACTGCGTAACAATTTAGCCATAAGTTACAAATGTGCATAGACAGACGGTATCAGGGCTTATATATAGAAACTCTGCTTAGCTTAGCTGGAAACAAAAGTGTGACAAACTATGTCACATTACCTTCTCTTTATCACAAATTAAACACACACACACACTGATTGTTAACCTGGCTCTACTGACATACGTTGTTTATTCCTAAAGTGAAGTGATGCATTACTAAATTTGCAGTAAGAGAAAATTACTCAGATAAAGCAGGGAACAGGACAGTTAGAGCTCTTGAGAGACTTGCTGCTCCCACCTGAAAGCAGTACCTGAAACTCTGCTAACCCCAGGCATTCACCCTCTGACCAGCACTGCTGTTCCTGAAGTAACTATATCTACTGCCTTTGCAAGTCTGCTTCTCAACATCAGCAGAGCTCTTAATTGTCAGATACCAGCCTATATTGTCTTTGATCTAAAAAGCTAGGTGTTAGCTCTGAAGCACGACGACAAAAATTTATATTTCTGCCTAGTTTCAAGCAATAGAAATTTCAGCAATTACGAGAACTGATAATTATTTTTCAGCATTCCTCTAATTACAGAGAGATTTTAATTATTAAAAATGCTTTACAAATAGGTCAGATTCAGAAGCCGTGCTAAATAATTCAATATTAATACAACCATTAACACAACAACAGAGATAAAATTACAATATCACAATGTCGAAACTCGAATAAAGATGAAAAATTCCTGGCAGTGAACATTCTTTCGTTACTGAGCTGTGCTACCAGTTAACCCAAGTGTTAGCACTTCTGCTTCAGCAGCAATGTTCAGCAGTAAGACAGAGCACCTTCAGAACAATCTTTCTATTGTAATGTTTGTTTGCAAACCTCTAATACCCTGTATTTATAATTTCTTAATTTACTGAGAGTTTTATAAATGGAAAGAATCAAGAATACTTGCAAGAATACTGCAGCAGCTAACATTGCTTCATATTAGCTAATCATGCTATGGCAAGAGGTAAAAATCCCCAAACAACTCTTCTTCCCTGCCCTAAACATCACACAAAAGTGATGTTTTGAGTAGGAAGTCCCGTAAAGTGGGAAATAAGAGCATCACAGATGTATTACTCAGAAGGCAAATTTCAGTGGTCTGTTGTTTTGGCCGGTAAGGTTATAATTAGCTTCAAACAATTGCTAAGATGTATGGCTGGTGTAAAACTAATGCTTCAGTCTATCAGGAACAACTTTTTAGTAGTGGTTTTACAATGCCTAACTCCATAGTATATTATGATGCCACTCTGGCTATTAGCTAATCAAATTGCTGCAAAGCACAATACTCTGCAGAAATATTGGGAAAACCGCTCTCAAATAAGGAAAATACCAGTACTTTTGGGAAACTGGCTTTACTAGTACACCATGAATGACACTATTCATATGTATTTATATGAGTTCACTCAAAATTTACAACATGAGATGGAAACGCAAAATGTCAGAATGCACTAACACTAGAAGTGCTAAGTGACAAAGTTCAACACATTTTTCCACTATAATCTTCTCCCATGGTCACAAAATGAGTGTAAAGTGCTCCATCATCTCTGCTGGTTGGACCCTGGGATGCAGCCAAATTTTGTCTCTGTCAGTGTCAAGGCAAAATGACTAAAAATAGCATTTAACGCATTCTTTTTTCCACCTCAATAGCAAAATGAAGCAAAGACAGTTTCAGAAATGATCCAGTTTCCCAGTACTAAAGAAATACAGTGCCACTGGGAAAAGCCTATCAGAAATCAGAACTCACAAGGCGGAGTAATCACATTTGCCATGTGATTCACCATACGACTGTTCCCCACTGCTGTGCAAGGCAATGCTGTTTCCCACATCAGCTGTCTTACCTTTAATGTTGTCCTTATAGAATTTGTTGCTCTCCTCCACTGTACTGAAGCCAGCATATTGGCGGATAGTCCACGGCCTGTATGTGTACATGGTTGGGTAGGGTCCTCGAGTGAAAGGTTTCACCCCTGGCAGCTCCTCAGGGAGGTCTTTCGTGTCCCTTTTGGAGTATAAGGGCTTGATGTCGATCCCCTCTGGGGTGTGCCAAATTAAATCCTTTGGATTCTTGCCCTTCAGCTGCTTTTCAGCCAGGGCAGCCCACTCGGGGTGCAGTGGCTGCCTGTGCAGCAAACGCCACGCGAGCCCGCAGGCTGGAAGTTGTGCCAGGCATGTGCAGCGGCAGGGCCAGAGGCGCAGAACATCCTTGGCTCTTAGCATGGCTGCCCCACTGGGTGGCGAGTATGGGGTAAGCTGAAGAAAATAAAAACACATATTTTGCATTATCATATAAATCTGACAAGGGAGAAGTGAGCATGGAGAGGTCACGCAGTTTGCTAAAACCAAAACAATTACTCAGGAAAAAATGAAATATATTTATTCACTTACTCATTTGACAGACACACCCTCCCCTTGCCTTTCAACCAGACAATGCATAAAACAGAGTTCAGGAAAAATCCTACATTGTCCTCTCGCTAAGGAAAACATTCCTACAACTCATCTATATCCACATATGAAACGTGTAACTTATTTCAGTCCCTAAGTAGCACCATCATTTATCTGTCACTGAAAAGTCAGTGTTATAAATGAAGATGGCATGCCTAGCTACCTTCCCACTTCCCCATCTCTCTCTCATCTACGAATTCGTTTATGTCAGAGGGACATTCAGCATCAAAGAGACACTTTGAAGGAAGTGGACTGTTAGAAAATTGCTGACATGTCATACACTTTGGAAAAGGTGGCTTGGGCTGGATGAAAATCAGAGCTATACAAAGACAGAAAGGAGGAAAAAATGCAAGAACACCTGGATAACACAAGTTGCAGAGCTTGTCTCACCATGCATGAGACTGAGATGGTGGACAAGTTCAGTAACTCCTGAAAACTGTTAAGTTCTTCTGCTTCTGCTCTCTGTACTCTACCCCTGCACTTTCTCCCCAGGCCAAAACCTTTACAGCTTGGCTCCAAGGGGAAATCCCCTCCTCTCTGCCTCATCTCCTTCACAACTCCCTGGAAACACACACTTCCCTGACACCTTTATGAGAAAGTCTGCATAAAACTGGGAAGCATCTCTGTTATGCTGTTATGCTGCTGCAGCAACACGCTCCACACAAGTGCTTTGATAATATATATGCTACGTGTGGTATACAGATAATCTGGTGAGCACAAAGGAGCACCAGAGGAGCACTCGGTTCCCTGCAGAGACGCGATCCTGCAGCCAAGACAGAAGGCAACCTCTGCCTCGGGTCCCAGCGCCATCCCCCCGGCCCCGCACCCCGAAGGAACCACAGAGCTGCCCCGTCACCCTCCTCCGCACCTCTCCCTCCGCCCCTCACACCACAGCACCCACAACCAGAAAGCACCGTTCGCCGGCCCGGCCTGGCAGCCCCCACACAGCCCTGACAGGCCCCCCCGGCCCCCGCGCC